GTATGTCACATTGTCCTTTGTACTTGGAAATACTACCTCTGGTTGGAAATTTCCACTCAGTATTTCAGTATCAGAAGTGAAGCATTAAACCACATTCCCAAAGCCTACCTGTAACCAGCTTTAAGCTCATATCAAGAAGATGCCTGGCAAACCTTCGCAATGAATTCTGGAACATTCACTTATAATTTTGCTGCACTGCCCACAAGCTACAGATATCTGCTTGAAAAAAGCAAAGCGTGCTGCCTATATACCACCCCATAGCACTTAAAGCACTCTCTGGGCGGTTTACAAGTTAATTATGCAAGCTACACATTGCCCGCCCGCCCCCAGCAAGCTGGCTTTTTTAATCCACAAAAGCGGGCCTTAATTATTTGATTTTTTTCTTAGTAGTCTAAAATAGCTTTTAACTCACACTTTTGCCCAATATAGAGCTATCAAGAACATGTGCCCTGAACAAGTTTCCAATTCTGTTTGTTATAGAGTGAACAGTTACCAAAAATTGTTAGCGAAAAAGATAGTACAGAGGCTATCCATTTCCTATGATTTCCACAAGTGGTTTCAATGACTAGATAAGTATGCAACTTTGTTGTATTAACAAACTTTATGTGCAGTTTTATTCCAGAAAATTAGACCAAAATCTCTGGAGTCCCCAAACCCAATTTATGATTTCATCAGTAAGAAGAAAACAAGACATATGAACCATCTTAACAAAACAGCTACCAATATAGCAAGACAACTTGTGAGCAGCCCCTACAAGAGCAGAGGAAGCAGGACCAGTTGGTCCAGGCCTCACCTTATGAGGAGGATTCAGATCAGCCAAGAGTACATTGTTCTCCATTTTAACCCTTTGGCTGTTTTTCTCAGCTCGTGCTGAATTTTGAACCTTTACTGTTCTTTAGCTTAAAATATTATCAGTTTTACTATTATTGTTAGTTTTATTTATATACCACATTTCTCCCAACAAGGGATCCAAAGCGGCTCACAACATTAAAATTCACACAACCTAAAAACACAGTAAGTTAAATATTAAAAGATAGGTTAAATATATGATTTAAAATACAAATAAAAGATTAAAACATGAAAACATTTAAAAGATTAAAATTTCTGCTAAAATGAGGTTCAAGGATTCAGTTATAATTGTTAAAAGCCTGCCTGAAGAAATGGGTCTTTAGCATTTAGTTCACAACATGAAATGACTTGGGGCTCATCAGAGCTTTTGGAGGACCTGCTTGTGGGACCCATCCCAAATACAGTATAGAAATATTAAACTCCCAACTATAGCAAACTGAATACAGTAAATGAACCAATGTCATCCAAAGCAGGTCATCTATGGAACAATGGTCTGGCAAATATCGAGTTGGAAAATCCACTGAAACCATAAGAGGAATACCAATATAATGTAGTGCAACACATATGCAATGAAGGAAAATAAAATGACAAAGGAACATCAGAACAGGTTGTGTATTTCTTACTGAAAGCACAGGTGTATGTTCTGAACTATCTTGTCGACAAATCAGGTGAAAATATACTCACAGCAGCTTCCTCTTCATATGGCCTTTCACCTTCCTCTTTTTTCTCCACATTTTCATATTCATAGGAGGGGTCCCCTTGGAAACGCCCCTTTAGTCCTGCAGTAATTGCAACCATTTCCTCAGTAGGAGGGGGAAGAAGGCTCCAGTCCACACCATTCAAGCTGTCAACCGCACAATCGTGACAATGGTCAAAGTGTATTTTTAAGAGGCGAAAAATCAGAAATGTTTCTATTCAGATATTCTGATATTGGGTGTTTCAGAGAAATGATCAAGGGATCAAGCTTCACAGCACGCAGAGATGAAGAACATCTGCCTGTCATGGCACTACAACCCATAGAGAAGAGAAGAGGGAATCAGTATAGAACTTACTGTGTCTTCCTAAATCTATGGGAAAATGAAAAATGGCAGCATCAGACACACATGCAAAATCAGGTCTAAAGCCCTCCGCAGTGGGAGGGGGATATGTTAATGCTCTCTTTAACCAAAATGCATTTTATTTTTTAAAAAACAAATCATCTACTGAGTCTCAAGATCAGAAGTAGTCTCTGCCAGGAGGAAAAAAGGCTTTAAAAACAGTTTTCTATGCAAAGGCATGAACAGGGAATTTTTGGTGCTGCACTGGAAATAAGATATTAACCTACTCCTTGAAAATTTCCTGATTCAAATACCTCTATCATGAACTCACTACAGTAGTTGGTCTTTAAGCAAGCTTCCCTCTCTCTATTATTATTATTATTATTATTATTATTATTATTATTATTATTATTATTATTATTATTATTAATTGTATTTATACCCCGCCTATCTAGTCATTTCGACCACTCTAGGCGGCTTACAACATAAAACATAACAAGTTCAAGAAAAATTTATACCAATTCATTAATTAAATGATTTTGCAATGGGAAAAATACAAACTAAATCAAATAAAGAGAAAAAAAGGAAAGAGGACAGGAATTAACTGGAAGGAAAGGCCTGCCTATACATCCACATTTTTAGTTGGTTCTTAAAAGTACCCAGCGAGGGTGCAGCACGAATCTCCGGAGGTAGGTTATTCCAGAGGCGAGGAGCCACCGCCGAGAAGTTCTTCTAGTTTCTTTCCTTCTAGTTTCTAGTTCTTTCCTTCCGGGCCTCCCTCGGCGTCAGGCTCCTCAGCCTCACCTCCTGGCTCGCGCGGGTGATACGGGTAGAGCTAGTTGGGAGTAAGCGTTCCGCCAAGTATCTATCTTAGCCTCTTACCACTCCTCCATTTGCAACATAAAGGATCATAATACTTCCCTTAAAATGGGTGCAGCTCATGACCAGGGAAGGGTGGGTGCCCACATCCCAATCCATAAACCGCCCCTGCCATAGAGGATTCTTGTAAAGACTACAGCTGGATAATCAATGTGTTTCAGTCACTTGAAAGTACTATATAAATGTTAGGTATTATCATCAAAAGCTCAGGATGTGCTTTCCAACGATTTTAAAACAAATATCCAGTTGCTCTCGTGCATACATTTTGTTCACAAACACCATATGGCCAAATTGGAGAATGGGGGAGAGAGATGGATGTTCACTGAAATTTTAGGACAAGTTGCCCCTGCCTAGTCCATAAGTCACTTATGTATATTTTGAGTGTTGAGTTTGGCCATTGACACATCTTTTTGCAGCTAAATTCTGTTGTATTTAACCCAATTTTACACATATTTAGCTAGGTTTTTTTTAAAAAAATTGCTGATGATAAAAACACCCAAATAAATTGCAGCTCAGCAGTGCTATTTGTAAAAACGTCAGATATAAGTTTCATTTCAAAGCAGTGTTTCTTCTGGTGCAAGGCAGAGGCAAATACATTTCGTGCTGCAAAACACGTGCATCACGATTTAGAGTTGGGAGTTAATTTCCCAACTGTGCCTTCTTCACAGAGGCTGGATTGGATGATCCATAACATCCTTCCAGCCCTGCAGTTTTAAGATGATTACCATCATCATCATCTAAAAAAGCAGAGGATGCTTATTTCCTTTAGATATATAAATTTTTCCCATGGTATGTAAATCTATTCACGTTTAACCTATTAAGTAAACATTGTTGTTTCTTCGAGCTGGGCGCCTGTCCTTTGCCATCTGTCCTTCAGCCATCAGATGCTCCCGAACGGCACTGGTAGTTCCTAATCAACCCTTCAAAGTGATCCGTTTTTTTTCCTCTCAGCTGACAAAGCTCCTGTGCCTCTAAGAGCCGCTAGGCGATCTGAAATTCACCAGGTCAAACTCTTCTCACCTGCGCACATCCATGCCAGTAAAGAATGCTCGTTCTACCTGTTAAGCAGCTGTTAAAAGGTGCAGGAAACCTATTAGGGGAAAAGCAGCAACAACGCAGGAGGAAGGCGAACAGACGCTATCGATGCCGGATTTTCCCGCCCGCCCGCCGCCGCCACCGCAGCGCGCGCCCCCCCCCGGCATATCACCTGCCTTATTCCACCACCTGTGGAATAGGTGTAACTCCTAGTTAACTCGAGCCGCCCACCTGTAGAGGCGACTTCTGGCCCCCGCCCGGTCTGGCCCCAGGCCTTCGGCGATATAGTAGGCTCCCCGGATGCCTTGGATGCGGCCCCACAGGCGGACCTGCTCGAAGCGGTAGTCCCGTCGCACCAGCAGGAGCGAGGTCCGCAAGGCCGCTCGCTTCTCCGGGCTCAGGCACACGCCGCTGCTGGTGACCAGGTCCAAAGCATAAGGCAGCGTCTCGGCATCCATGGTCGCCAGGCCGAAAGCGCGAAACAGGCAGGCCCGGCCGCCAGCGTCCCGTTACCAGGCAACCGTCTCCAAGGTGCCGCGTACCCATTTTTCTCGGCGAGGACGCGAGGTCAAAGGTCGATCTCGCACCCTTTCCGCGTTTTAGCCCCGTTGCCACGTTTTCGGCCGGAAGTTTTCTCTCCGGTTCTGTCCTTGCTCGCTCGCCAAGGCTAAATGCAGTTTATGCGTCAACAGATCCCTTACAAATGGAAACAGAAACCCGAGATGACGCTTACAGCTGCAGTTTTTGCAATATCACCCCCCTTTCTCAGAACAGTCATCCTTAAATTATATAATATGATTTATTTATTTATTGGTTATTAGGCTTATTCAGTGGTCTTACAGTACCTCAGCAGGCAAAAAACCCCAATTAATATATACTGTATAAGATGATATCATCTTTGAACTGCACAGGTGGAAGGGACCCTATGGATCATCAAGTCCAGCCCCTGTCAAGGAGACCCAGTGCAGAATCTAACACCCAACCTCTGGCTTTGCAACCAGCTACCTAAACTACTGAGCTTGCAGCTTTTCTGACATACAATGATGGTAAAGGGCTTTATTTGCTGAGTGATTGGTAGTCACTCAGGTTAAAAGTTGAACACACCCTCCAGGACGCTGAGGAAAACTGTTCCGGATGGCCTGGGTCTCTCAATCTAAACTACTTCACTAGGTTGTGAGGGTAAAATGGATGGGGGAAGATAATCACCCACTCCAGCTTGAGCTGTTTTGGAAGAACAGTAGGGCAAAAATATAATTTTTAAAAGCATTGATTGCTTCTTTGTTTTAATTTCTTGCGTAATTCTGATAATTAGTTTCCCTAATATATGCACCAATGGTGACTAATCCTTTAGAGTAACCATCAGTTTCCATGCCTTTAGGAAAGCTACGAAAGGCATAATTTAAAACTAGCATACAGTACTGTATAGTATGTTAAAACTTACTGTGATTGTTTTCATCATCTCTTCGCAGACTTGTCTGTTCTTTGTAATTTTATGGATGAATCGGGTTTTGTATCTGACTTTAATTTTCTTAAGGGCTGAACTTGCTTCTACTTATTGCTTATAATGTTTTATAATTACTGTAAGCACCCTTGAAAACAATTATGTAGTGAAAAGGTGAAGTAGAAATGTAATTATAAATAATAAAGGACAAGTAGAGCATTGCCCCCATCTCAAACCACCTCCAGCCAGTTCACTCACATGGTTTCCTCTACCAGACACATAAGGTCAGAGCCCTGGCTACCTTCCCCTCCTACTGAACTTTCAACTTCACACTCTGAGTGTATGAGGAGAGGGGAGGTAGAAGAGAGAAGTAGCAGGAAATAGGAAAGTTTCTCATTTTGGGGCCAGGCATATTTTCTGTTCCTCAGCTTATCTGTTGAATAAATGAATAAACAAACAGGGTAGAAGTAAGAGAATCTCAGATAATACTGGATTGTCTGTCTTATATGTGTCTGTGTGACATGTGAATGCGTGCTTGCATGTGTCTATCTGTATGTGAAAGTTCTATTTTTGCCACCGGTTCTGCCTCTTCCCCCAAGCTGTGCCCAGCATTGACTGGTGTGCTTTTTTAATACTGGATTGTCTGTCTTAATATATGTATCTGTGACGTGAATGTGTGCTTGCATGTGTCTTATCTGTATGTAAAAGTGCTATTTTTGCCACCGGTTCTGCCTCTTTCCCCCAGGCTGTGCCCAGCATTGACTGGTGTGCTTTTTGTCACACAAACCACAGTGAGTACCAGCCGCCATTGGCATGCACAGTGATTCCACATTTGGTATGTCCCAACTCCTCTTTCTTTAATAATTAACTGCTAAATTCTTTTTTATCACCTGGCTGTATTTAAAACTACTCAATCTGTTTTCTTCAGCTTCCATTCAGACACAGAGATCAGTAGTCACAATCTACCAGAGCTACACTAAGCAAGTAAAATTCTAACCATCAGTATATATTAATGATGTTCTTTTGATGTGAAACTAAACAGAAACTAGAGAAAAAGGCAGACAGCTGTAAAAGGCTCATTGTTCAGTTGAAGTTGTACCAGACGTTTCTTCAAATACGCTTGTGTTTTTGTTTTTCATACTCCACACTTCAGGATTTCACTTTCCAAAAGGAAAAATGCATTGCTTATCCATATAAATATATGATATCTTGTATAGCACAGGCTTCAAGCTTGCGTGCAGCACCTAGGAATCTTTCCTGCAGCCCATCTATGCATTAGCCGTTCTACAAACATCTCCCAACTGGCATTTTTTAAAATGACAACAAAACTGCCACAACATGGCTTTTTTTTAAAAAAAATGGGGTGGTAATGAACACTTCAAGTTTAAACCAGCCAAGGACTCTCCTAATCAGAAATCCTGCCTCAGGATTGGCTCCAAATTGCAAGGGACTTGGGCAATGCTGGTGGGCTCTGGTGGGCTTACCAGGACCATAAAAAAAAAATTTTACTACAGTTTTCAGGCAGTTCGGGGAGGTTCTGGATGTTGCTGTTGGATTCTGGTAGGCTTACGTGAAGCTCAGGAAGATTTTGTTTTTCACTACAATAACAATTCAGCAGTTGAGCTTCTGGGTGTTGTCCAAAAAAAAAAAGTAACTTTTCCAGACTTGGTTTTCTTACTGCCCTGGCACTCTTTTCATTACCCAGCATGCTATTGAAGGATTCTCTTTCCCACAATTCCTCAAAAGAATGCTAGTGCAGGGATATTGCAAGTATTAAGACAGTGGCTAGATCGAATGAAAAGCAACCATTTAAAGTGCATGCAAAAAAAATAATAATTAGCAGGGAGCGAAGGTGCTGAGGCTTCAGCAGCTGACAAGGACACCAGGTGATGGCATCAGCCTTGTTTCTAAGAGACAGAAAAATAAATAACTTTCACCTCAAAGCAAGTGATTTCTCCACAGAGAAAACACTTGGTAAAGGATCGAGCAGTCTCCCTTGTACTCTAAACCAATTCTATGATCCAGTTTGCTAATTCTTTCCAAGAGCAATATTGCTGTAGCTTTACAAGCTTCCATAAATTAATGGTTTAAAATATTTCAGCCAAAAACAACCTTCCAGCTGACTTTAATTCTACTTAATCGTTTAAGGCTTTTAGCAGTCACAGCTTGCAAGCACGATACATGAATATTTGCACAGGATCTCAGCTATCTCAGATGAAGGCTACACTGTTCCCACATGGTGCATGAGGATAGTTCTGTTTAATAGTGCTGTGGACATGGCTCGCTTGATCGCTGTGAATGAGCAGTTTGGCTGATAACAAAATAATATTAATATTGGCTGAATGCTTATGGATGCTCCTCTGGGCATACAATTCACCTGTAGAGATTGGGTGTCAGATATACAGTATATGTATTTAATCTGCAGAGTATGTATAAGTAAGTAGGCCTAACAATCTGCAGTTTTGGAAATTACATGCCTGATCCATCCCAAGCCCTGTCTCCTCATGAGTCCTGTCTCCATTTCTAGAGTTAGTTCTGGGAAAGGAACCCAACTCCTGTTTCCATAAATAAAGTTTTAGGATTGCCATTATTGCAGAAAGAAAACTTTTCTCAGGCTGCACCATTATCTCTAATCAGTGGCTGGAGATAACAGCAAACATTCCCAGGTATGTGATTTCCACATACAGTATATGGAGCTTGAAGGTACCTCTGGGTACTTTACAGTCTCTTTCCATAAGAAGAAACAGGTGTAGGCCCCATGCCTGACTAACATGGCCTCACCACCAATACTAAAGAAATTATAAATTACAGCTCTTTGAAGGCTGATTTCATAATCCTAAAGAAAATGCTTCAGCCACCTCTCCACAACATCAATGCGCTTGCTGCTCTAACTACTGGCTATTTTCAAGCTCTGTTTCTAGTCTTAAGTAATAGATTTCAATTTCCAAGTGCCCTTAACCAAAGGAAACTGTTGCTGGTGAAGTTACTCCTGGAACTTCTTATGACTTGGAAATGGGAAATACACAGCATCAGGACATATTTCCTTCTAATTAGCAGGAAAATTAATGTATTTTAATATATTCAAACAAAATACATGAGTTTTCTGTGGCATTAGCTAAATGGGGACTGATGGATTTTCGTGCTATGATTATCTAAGAGACTGCTCAAAATTAATACACGGGGCTGCAAGACTCTTTATTATGAATAGACTGATGATGGATATGATGATGATTTATCACCACTAGTTTGATTTCCTTTTAGTGGCTTTTAGCTCCTTGGTTCAGAGTAGCCAACCAAGTTCTACACTATAACCATAGAGCTGCAGGAGATGCAGAAGGAGAGATGGAGGGAGGCAATGGAGGAATGAAATGGAGATGCTGAAAGTCACAGAAGTGGCGGTGATATGGAGGTCATGTTGAAGTGCAGCCTTGAAACCTGCTCCCAGGAAACAGCTCCGCAGAACAGAGCCATGTGCTTCCTCCCACGCTCCCCGTCTCTTGCTATAGACTTAGACTTTTAGTGTCTCAGCCTCTGGGGATGCCAATCAGATTAAATTGAGGCTGTAAATTTTATTAGATGAACACCTCCCCAGTATGAACTGGCCTGAGACCCCAAATTATATGAGCAAGGTCAACTAATCAATAGCAGGTGCTAATGAATTTCTCCACTCTGCAACACAAGTGGAATTCAAAGCAGATGTCGGAGTTGAAAGCTCATTATTCCATAAGCAGTTTTATAAGCCACTTAGTCTTTGCTTCCCACCCATCTTAGCTGGACATTATTAAAACAAAACAAATCAAAAAAGGAAATCATTTGCTTAAGACATATTCTTCTAGGCTCAGTAAGGCTCAGTAGGTAAGTGTACTCTACCGGTTTTGTCCTGACCGGGCAATTACTAAATACTGATAAAGATCAGAGCATAAGTGGCTGGTATTATTTAACAAAGGGAAGGTCAGAAGCACAGCTTTTCATCAAGGTCAGAGGTTACCATCACTGTCATTAAACAATATGAAAATGATCTTTCCTGTGGGATTGCCAAAGCTCTTCTGGGATTATGTAGGTTTGTTGACTACCTTGAAAAATGGATGAACC